GACGACTGAACAACTGGACACTTAGCATAGCATATTAGGCATTTATTATATATATATATGACTATACTTTCATAAAACTTGTATGCAAGTTAGTTTAATTAATGTTTTCATTTAGATGCACAATGCACTATGTATTTTAGCTTTCATACATTTCATAAATTCCATGTTTATAATAAATTTTACTTATTAAAGAGTCAGATGAATCCTGCAGTAGCTTTTTTTTTTTTTTAACAGTTTTTTAAGTTGTATTTTTAGGCTATTTTTGCCAAGCAAAGGTCAAATTATTCAGCCTTTCTTATCCTATGAGTTTGTGAAGAATGGGCAATCAAATAGCTTCTGATAAGGCTTTTAGAAATGCCACCAATATTAAATATATTATATAAGAGTCAACAAGGGTCAAAACAGGGATTTAGCCTCAAATCTCTCTGTTGGAGATTCACTGAATATCTCTCAATGGAGATTCACTAGGCTTTCTATCCCTTGGGTAAATCTGCATCCCTAATTAATATTGATATATTTTATACTGAAAGGGGCATGAAAGAGTGGCTGTTGCTGTCTTTCCCATCACTATATAACTGGAGCCTTTCACGATGTCACATAAATGAATAAAAGTATTTCAAGACAAATGGGACATGTATTTATAGTACTTAGAAAAATGGTTGTTTTATACTTCTACTTGTAAATTAATATTATTCTACTATTGTATTCAGTTTGCAGTGATAATTCTATTGTTGTGATTATGTTAAAAATTGTGGATTTTATATCTTAACTCTGATTCCCAAAACTGATTTGTATTAGATGAGCTGTTTTTGTTTGTTTGTTTTGTTTTTTTTTAAATTACTGTTTGGCTCTATTCTATATGCTATGAGTCATTAATGGGGTATATATCTCTTTTGTCCTCAGTGTATACACTTGTTGAAATAATTAAAAACAAATTAATGAAAACAAGTCATAAAGTATTAAAAAATTAACTAAGTGACATATTTTTTTTAAATAAGCAAAGCAGGAATACTTAATGGAAACATAATTGAGGATCTTTTAATGCAATTTACATAGGATTACTCCTGAAAAATAAGTGGAAGATGTTACTTTGGGCATATATTCATTTAGGGCTTTTTTTTTTTTCCTTAGACCATCTAAAATATCTAATATCAGGTGCAGTGAGTACTCAGGAAACAATGTTTGCCTTTTCCGCTGTGGAAACTCACCTCTTATTTGCCATTGGAGTATTATGCCTGTTGATTTGAAAAGCAATTCATTTCACTTGAATATGTCTAACATTTATATTGTCAATTGAATAGCATGCATGAACAATACTACTCTGGAAATCAACTTTGTGATTTCAAAGCATGAATCTGAAAATTTCAGACATTCAATCTTATAAATTGCTGTCTTATAATTTTGAAATAACATGGATACTGAAAATATTAGGGGAATACTCTATAAAATATGTTTTTCTAACCACTATACTGTACAACTGATACTAATGTAAAATAATATTGAATATAAACTGCAATCTAAAAAGAAAAGAAGCCAAAACCGGTTTGGCTCAGTGGATAGAGTGTCGGTCTGTGGACTGAAAGGTCCCAGGTTGCATTCTGGTCAAGGGCATGTACCTTGGTTGCAGGCACATCCCCAGTAGGGGGTGTGCAAGAGGTAGCTGATCGATGATTCTCTCCCATCGATGTTTCTAACTCTCTATCCCTCTCTCTTCCTCTCTGTAAAAATTCAATAAAATATATTTAAAAAATAAAATAAAATAGCCAAAACCGTTTTGGCTCTGTGGTAGAGCATCGGTATGCGGACTGAAAGGTCCCAGGTTCGATTCTGGTCAGGGGCATGTATGTTGGTTGCGGGCACATCCCCAGTAGGGGGTGTGCAAGAGGCAGCTGGTCGATGTTTCTCTCTCATCGACGTTTCTAGCTCTCTATCTCTCTCCCTTCCTCTCTGTAAAAAATCAATAAAAATATATTTTAAAAATAAATAAATAAATAAATAAATAAATAAATAAAATAAAAAGAAAATATATTATTTCAAGAAATAAAAGCAATGGAGGCTCCATAAACTTAATAAGCCAATGATTCTGATCTATGCTGGTTTGGGTTCAAACTCCCCAATTGTCAGCATCAATGGGTGATGGTTCTATGTGATGGTTCAGATTCTCTCAGAAGAATCTTCTAATCTCCTGCCCAAGAGCTTGAAACTTGGATATGAGCCTGGAAAGCTACCTTGAAGGGTAATCCCACAGTTCATCAGCTCATCTCACCCTGAGATGTTTCATATCTACAGCCTCCCTGATAAAGTTTTGTCAGGGAAGACATTGAGGTCTCCTGGATACTGGAAGAGAGTAAGGATGGATACCAGAGGTTCAAATTGTTATATATATACAGTGTATATATATACAGTATATATATATATATATATCCTCAATATATATATATATATCCTATATATATATATATATATCCTCAATATATATATATATATATCCTCAATATATATATATATATATATATATATATATATATATATATATATATATATAGTGTATTAATTGTATCTATTTTTAACTTCACTTGCATCTTTGCTTTGGGGTATCAAATTTTTGAGAATTTCTAAGATCTTTTGGGCAAGCCAGCGTGCTTCTTGCAATATTCTTTCTTCTCTAGATCCTGAGATTTTGTCTTCTTCTTTTATGTGAAGTTATTCATCATTATTCTCAGTCTTTCATTTCCAAATATTTTTGTTCATAACAGCAAAATCTAATTATTGTTCTTGGGTTCTTTGTTATATGGGGTGTTTTCAAAACAGAAAGAAAAAATGTCTTTATTTCTATAATTCTTAATGTTTATCAATTACTTTCAGAAGACATGATGTGTCTCAAACAACATTAATCACATGATTACTTAAATTTTCAGATTTTATAGGGATATGCTATTAAATATCCTAAGATCCCTGTCCCCTGATACATATTTTTGTTAATATTTTCAATTGATTTTTTAGTTTTATTTTTTCTTCAGTTCTATTTGTTTTGTTTTGTTTTTGTATTTTAATAAAACCTGCAGAAAATGTGAAAGAACATGTTCATTCTTGTTTGAAACTCTTGAACCTTATTAAGATTGCAAGTGAAATTTCTGTACTTAGCAATAATATATTGGGAAGTAGAAGAGGAAATTCTAGAGTAAAACTAAAATTCATGCAATATTTATAAGAATCAGATGTTTATTAAAAGCCAGCATGTAAATATTTCATTTAGAAATATATAGTTTGGAAAATATTAAAAATAAACACCAAATTTTATGTAGGTATAAGAAAACACACACATGTACTTGTTCTTTGAAAATAATTTTTCAGTGAACTATGAACACCAAATAGAACAATAATTTTGTATAATTCAAATTTCCTAAAAATGTTAAGATTTAATTGAGATTTTATTATAAAGAGAAATTTAGACATACCTAGTAAATATAATGTTTCAAAACGCTTTAATTTAGGGTTACCAGATTTAGCAAATAAAAATTCAAGATTCCCAGTCAAATTTAAAATTAAGGTAAGAAAGGTTAAAAATGATAGCAGAGTATGAGGATGTTTCATGGATGTGTTCCCAGGAACAAGCTGGAATTACAAGTGAAATATAGAAAGGCTTCCTAAATAATGAATGGACAACTCACAGGAGAGAACCCTGATAGCTGAGGACTGAAGTGGAGACTGCATAGAGACAGATAAGAGGGGCGGAGGCATGAAAGGGCTGGCTGGGCACCAACTGACTGCACCTGAAGTCCTGAGAGCTATCTCAGCTGTCGGGGAGAGCCACTGAGAACTCTGGGATCTAATCCCCAAGCTGGGCTCCCCAGGAGAGAGCACCAAACTAAGAAGGATACCCACATACTATTGTGTTTCCCCAAAAATAAGACATCCTCCGAAAATAAGACCTAGCGCATGGAAAGATAAGACATCCCCTGAAAATAAGATCTAGCGCAACTTTGGGAGAAAAAATTAATATAAGACACTGTCTTATTTTCGGGAAACAGGGTAGCTGTAAAAAGCAGTGGGGTGCTGTCTGCCAGGGAGTGGCAGCTGAAAGTTCGAACACCCTATTAAAGGGCCACCACACAAAAATTTCCTATTGAGCCACCCACCTTGTGCTCCAGCAGAGGGAGGGTGAAGTGGACTGGAGCTGTGAGAGCAGAACCCAGGCCTGGGGACTGGGGGATAGAGCTCAGAAGGCAGACACCCCAAGTCATTCCCTAACCCAGCAGTGGACATCTTTCCAACACAGACATCTGCCTGGCCTGTGGGGAAGACACTTGACACACCCTATTGGAAAACACCTTTCTCTAGGGCCATTTAAGAGATTAAAAGTAACAATTAGGCTCCAGGCAGAAGCAACTGCCCCACCTTGTTGAAAAAACTCTCACCACACCTGAGATGATTGCCTTTGGGCAATTCAAGTCAGAATTCTATTATTCTGTAGACAGAGGTGGTCTCTGGAAGCTTTGAGTTTTTGCCTGATCCAATTAGTCAGAAACAGCCTTTAACACTGTCCTGCACTAGAGACTGAGAGTTGTAGAGGATCTAACTAAAACATAGTGACAAACAAAAACAGATAACCAAAATGAGGAGACAAAGAAACAACCCCAAATGAAAGAACTAGTGAATTCTCCAGAAGAAGAGATAAATGAAGCAGAGATGAGAAACTTATCTGAAACAGAGTTCAGAGTAATAATGTTAAAACTGCTCAACAGTATAAAAAAATATGGTAACTATGAAAAAAGAACAGTATGAGATAAAGAATGTCATAACACAAATAAAGAATACATTGGAAGGAATACACAGCAGATTAGGGGAAACTGAGGATCCAATCAGTGAATTAGAAAACAGAGTTGAAAATATCACTCAGACAACCAAAAAGGAAAAAAAAAATTAAAAACAGGAGGACAGTTTCAGAGATCTGTGGGACAATGTGAAACTTAACAACATTAGAATAGTAGGTGTACCAGAAGAGGCAGAAAGGGAGAAAAGAATAGAGAAGGTGTTTGTAGAAATAATGTTAGAAAACTTACCTAACCTGGTAAAAGAAAAAGTCACACAAGTTCAGCAGGCACAGAGAACCCCAAACAAGAACCCAAACAGAACCCAAATACATCATAATTAAAATGCCAAAAATTAAAGACAAAGAGAGAATTTTAAAGGCAGCAAGAGAAAAGAAAACTGTTACCTACAAAGGATTTCCCATAAGGCTGAATCCTGATTTCTCATCAGAAACTCCACAGGCTAGAAGGGAATGGCATGAAGTAAGTACTCAAGGTAATGGAAAGCAAGGATCTGAGACCAGGATTACTATATCCAGCAAGGCTATCATTCAAAATAGACAAATAAAGAGTTTCCCAAACAAACAAACAAACAAACAAACAAAAAAGGCTAAAGAAGTCTATCACCACCAAGCCTGCATTACAAGAAATGCTAAAGGGATTTCTGTAATAGATTGCTGAGAAGAAGAAATGGAGAGAGAAACCTAGCCATACAGAAAATGTTTATAAATAAGTACCTCTCAATAATAACCCTAAATGTAAATGGATTAAATGTTCCAAACAAAAGGTTTAGGTAGCTGAATGGATAGAAAAACATGGCTCACCTATATGCTGTCTACAAGAGACCCACCTCAAAACAAAAGACACACACAGGATGAAAGTGGAGGGATGGAAAAATTTTTTCCTTGCAAATGGAAAAGAAAAAAAGTTGGAGTAGCAATACTCACATCTGACAAAACAGACTTTAAAAGTATCATGCTAAGTGAAATAACCCAGTTGGAGAAAGATAAATATCATATGATCTCTCTCATTTGTGGAATATAATGAACAACATAAACTGTTGAACAAAAATAGAGCAAGAGGGGGGAAAATATGCTAGAATATAATATAAGTAATCCTGTTATTTGCAGACTTTTAATATTTCCTACAACTTTTGTCATATCATAATATGTTAGTACAGTTTTAGTAATATTTTTGTACTTAAAATCCTTCTATTCTTGAAATATTAATGTTTAGTGCATGTAATATCTATACTAATAAAAGGGTAATATGCTAAGTAGACCGGATAGACCTGACAACATTCTTCCTGAAAAAGCCAGAGCCTGGGCAATGCTGTCTGGAGTCCTGGGAGCCTATGACTGGCCAGAGGGAGGAAAGCCAGGGTCTGGGTGCCTGCAGCTGGCCACAGGGAAGCTTGGGTCCAGGTTGCCTCTGGCAAGCCAGAGGAGGAAAGCCTGGGTCCTAGGGACAGGGGCTGAGGCAGAGGCAGTTAGGGGAAATTAAGCTGACAGATGAGCAGTTAGGGGTGATCAGGCAGGCAGGCAGAGGCAATTAGAGGTGATCAGGCAGACAGTTGAGTGGTTAGGGGCAATCAGGTAGGCAGGTGAGCAGTTAGGGGCATTAGGCAGGCAGGTGAGTGGTTAGGGGCATCAGGCAGGTAGGCAGGAGAGTGGTTAGGAGCCAATGGTCCTGGATTGAGACAGAGATATCTGACTGCAAACCAGCAGTCGGACATCCCACGAGGATTCTCAAATTGTGAGACGGTATAGTTCAGGCTGAGGAACTCCCCAACCCAGGATTAAATTTCATGCACCAGGCCTCTAGTCCTATGTAATAAAAACCTAATATGCTAAGTGTTCAGTCTTCTGGCCATTCATTCAACCAATCAAAGCATAATATGCTAATGATATGCTAAGGCCACTCAACTGCTCACTATAATGTGCACTGACCATTAAGGGCAGACATTCCGACTAGAAGGTTAGCTTGCTGCTGGGGTCCAACCAATTGGGACTGAGCGAGACAGGTAGACATACATGTTCTGGAGCCCTCTTGGTCCCTCCCCAACTAGCCAACCTCTCGTGTCCCTCTCCTGCCCTGATTGTGCACTGGTGGGGTCCCTCAACCTGGCCTCTGCCCTGACCCCTCGGGAGATGTTGGAGTGCCAGTGTCAGCCCAATCCCAATGGCCAGGCCGAGGGACCCTACTGGTGTATGAATTATATGTAAGATCTAATTATTATATGTAAGATTATTTTTCTTGAATAATTGTTGTTTATTGCATGAAACATTATCATATTCAAAATTGTTTTTCTTGAGATATTAAAGTTTGTTGCATGTAATTTTATTATATTTAAAATTGTTTTTTTTGAAATATTAAGGTTTATCACAAGTAACATTATTATATTTAAAATCATTTTTCTTTAAATAAAAAAATGAAAAAAAGAAATTATATTCTCTCTACATCTTGATATGAAAATGTCTTTTAAAAATTAAAAAAATTAAGGTAAGTAATCATTGTTAGTGTAATTCTGTTAATGTCCTAATGCATTTTTATTTGGCAAACTTAATTTAAGGACATTTCACAAATCTATTATGGTTTATAAAAAACTGATTTTATACAGTATATTTTCATGCAATATGTACTAAAGACAAAAGTAATAAACTATACTTTCTGCCTTCAAGTAGTTCACAAAGATAAATTTTATATCATTTTTATTAGGATTGTGTATGAATAAGTGACCCTAAACATATTACTTCTATTAGAAAGAAATATATTTCTTTTAAAAATAAGTATCCAGATGTAGAAATCTCAGTGCTGCTTATTCAGCTTGTAGCTTTCTGCTTTGCCATCTCTAGAGTGTAGCATTCTTCTTTGTAGTCTAAGATAATTCCAGACCCTACTCTTACTTTGCATGAACTGAAATGGAAAGCAAAGGCAATAGGTTGATATCAGCATATTTTACAAAAAACTCCCCCAAGCTGCCACACAATATTTTATTTTCCATTGGCCAGGTGTCATGGGCGTCATAGTGACACTTAGCATTAAGGGATGTAGATAATATTTTCATTCTGGGAGAACATGTGTCCAGTTGAAAGAAAATTAAGTTATACTTACTAGTACATTGTAAGAAAGAGAAATAGATTTTAAGGATTTTTATCATAGATATGTAAACGAAACTATTTATAATGCAATATGAAAAGATCTATGCTAGTGTACCCATCCTATCTAATAAAGAGGGAATATGCTAATTGACTGCCCCGCTTTCAAAGATGGCAGCACCCACAGTCACAAGATAGCAGAGCCCAGGTCCCCCAGTCCCCCAGCTGCCCATGGCCAACCAAGGTTCAGGCAAGCTGTCTGGGGGTTGCCCAGCTGTCCAGAGCTGGCCCAAGAAACCACCAAACAACTGAACAAGCAGGCTGTGTGGGGTGACCAGGTCGGCAGGGGGGTTAGTGAGGGACTACCAAATGACTGAACAAACAGACTCTGTGGGGTGATCAGACCAGTTAGGGGCAACCTGGTTGGCAAGGGGTGCTGTTGGGGGTGATCAGGTTAGCAGGGAGGGCAATTGGGGACAATCAGGTCAGTGAGAGGTGACCAGGCTGGCAGGGGGGTGGGAGGGGGAGCAATTAGGGGCCACCAGGCAGGCAGCAGGCAGGTGAGCAATTAGGAGCCAGTGGTCCAGGATTGTGAGAAAATTGTGGGACATCCCTCGCAGGATCCTGGATTAGAGAGAGTTTAGGCTGGGTTGAGGGGGTCCCCCCTATGCACGAATTTCATGCACCAGACCTCTAGTAGGATATATAAGAGGCACATAAGTAAAAATATCCAAGAGTGTACTATTGAGGAAGGAAGATAGTATATACAACATTACATTTTATACAGAGACATTTACTTCTCTTGAATTATTTGTTAGGGTATATCCATGGAGATGGAATTATTGAGTAAAACACAATGACCATAACTGACTTTTCATACTTTTTGTTATTTAGTCACATAAAAGAATATGCCAATTTTAGTGGCCAACAGCAGTATGTAGACTATACTCCTTTCTTTACAAGTTCAAAAATATTGGGTGTTATACTTTATTTTTTTTAAAAAAGGAAATGGCTACTTTTATGTATATATTGAAAAGTATTGCAAATTTAATGATATACAACTTTTATTTTCAGAAGTTTTAAACCTTTCTAATTTGTTTATCACATATGTTTATCCCTGTATAAATTTTAACCGTTCTCTTGTATTGCAAACTCCGTGCTCTTTTTTTTCACTACACATGTGCCTAAATAAAAAAATAATTTTTAAAAAGCATGTGGAACCTGTCTAGCATAGTTTAGAGACTGAGCATCAAGCTATGAACCAGGAGGTCACTGTTCGATTTCGACAGAGCTTATGCCTGCATTTCAGGCTCGATCCCCAGTAGGGGGCATCCAGGAGACAGACAACTGATGATTCTTTCTCATCATTGATATTTCTATCTCTCTCTCCTTCTCCTTTCCTCTCTGACATCAATAAAAAAAAATATTTTTAAAACAGCATATGAAGTGGTTTCATTGGGGAAAGAAAAAAAAAAAAAAAACAGCAACTAACAGTCTACAGTTTTTTTCTAAATATACTTTTCCTATTATTCCTCCAGTCTCCTTCTCAGTTCCACTTACTAATATAGGAAAGTTTTCTTGACACCTCTTCATCTCCAGTATTTTCCTTTTTTCATTCCTTAATCCAATGTAATGTGGTTATAGTCCTTACTTCTCCAGTGAACAATTCTTAGAAACTCTACCTCGAGCAGGGTTCTCACACTTCATTATGCATCAGGAACACCAGGAGAGCTTGTTAAACCAGAGGACTGAGCTCCAGCCCACATTTCTGGAGCAAGACCTAACAATTTGCCTTTCTAAAGAGTTAGCAATACATTAACTAATTCATCTGCAAAGGAGTCTCATGGCCATTTTATAGGCAATTTTTAAAAATCTTTATTTATTAAGGTATGTGTCCTTATCCCCCATTTCTCCCTCACCACCCCCACTCATACCCTCTCCCCTCCCTGGTGTCTATGTCCTTGGTTGGGCTTATATGCATACATACAAGTCCCTTGTTTGATCTCTCTCCCTTATCCCCACCCTCCTCTACTTTCCCTCTGAAGTTTGATGGTCTGATTGATGCTTCTCTATCTCTGGTTTTGTTTTTGTTCATCAGTTTATGGAGTTCATTATATTACACAAATAAGTGAGATCATTCGATATTGACCTTTCTCTGACTGGCTGATTTTGTGAGCCCAGCTGGAATGACTCAGTTGGTTGGAGCAGCATCCCTTGCCCTAAAAGAAGGTTGCAGGCTGGATTCTGGTCAGAGCAGGGCACATACAAAAGACAATCAATG